GCTTGACAACGGAAGGAGAATTCAAAACATCTGTCCTAGAAGAATCATCCCGAAGAAAAACATCTGCAGTTTTTTGATCGCCTCCTTGGCCAGATACAAAAATCCAGACCGTCATGTGACGATACATACTGAACATCTTTCCGTGGTCTATCAGCGCCGAGCTCGCCTGATTGTCGTCTAGATTCTCAGATCCGTGATGAATCGGGTACTTGGCGCCAGCGTTCCGAATTTGTTTTATGAATAATCGTCTCTGGCTGACTCCATCGTTATCAGCTGGAACTTGCTGAAGGTCTGGGAACGTGATCCTGAAAGACTGGGTGGGCAGTGGGGCCACATTGCAGAAGAATTGCGAAGCAGAGGGTATTGGTATATGTCCGCACCTGAACGCGCTGGCAACCTCACAACTGTGCGCCTTGCTGCTGCCAGCCTTGCTGTTGGTCGCATCACCGCGCACCGTGTGTATCTCATAACTGAAGCATACCTGCGAGGGCGGTGATGCGCGAAATTGGTGTTCCAATGCTTCCAAATATTTGTAGTGGACGTGGTACCACTGCTGACTCTGCATAAGTATTGAAGCTGCCAACGTCTTCTCCCAGCGCGTCACGGTGTACCTGAACTGATGCGCAAACGAGCGAGAGGCGAGAGGCGATTGGGAACGCTGCCAGAACAGCTCTCGCTCGATCGTTTGGTCGATCGTTCGGTCGGTCGGTCGATCGGTGGGCCCCGTCGGTGGGCCCTCGTCGTCGGAGTCGGAATCGGAGTCGCGGTGGTCGTCGTCATCGTTCAAGCCTAAGCCCTCCCCCTGCCCCTACCCACCTGGTCAAACCAGCTTCCAAGTGCAGGAGTATCGCCGCGGCACTGGCGTGCCCCAAGTTCCGGCGCATCGACAAGGAATAGCCTCCGTACGCCGAAACATGACCCCCTCCATGGTGCTTCCTCACGCCCTTCTTCTGGCGCTTGGAGGGCTTCATGAAAGACTTCTTCTCCACCTAGCTCAGACGAGGAGGCAGACCAGCCACAACAACTGGGGGAGCTGTGATCCTTACCCCCCTGGGGGACCTATCGGCTTCGACACCCCTCTCGAGAGATCGTCGATTCGCTTAGGTCCCGCAGGGGGGTAAGGACCACAGCTCCCCCAGTTGCGGCTCGTCGGAGGGTAGGGGGAGGTGAACGTCTCACGACGACACCCTTCTTCCTCCTCTCCCTCCCCCTCCTGATCTGTTATTTCCCTGCCTCGTTTTTTTCTTGTTTGTCCTCATGTCCTCCTCCGTTTTCCTCCCCCCCTCCTCCTCCGAGAAGACCTCTTGTTTCAGGCGTTTCTTGAGAGACTCTTGGGTGACCTTCAAGACTTTGTTGAGCCTATTCGCCCGCTTGAGCTGCTTGCGAAGCCTTCGTTGAGGGCGAGGGCCGAGGGATAAGAGGCATGAGCAGGCTGAAAGAGAGAGGGAGGGAGAAATAGAGAGAGAGAGAGAAGGAGCTAAGTATAGTGATTACTGAACACAGCCTCTTGAGCGTAGTAGCCGTACGACGCGATTGAGATGTAGTTGTTGTAGTCCTGCTCGTGTTCGACCTCCGAACCGACGAAGAACTCGACGGCCGTATTGGCTGAGGTGGGACGCAGGCGCATGTGTCCTGCAGCACTCGTGTCGATGATGCGCCACCACTCCAGGTCGTCCGTCCTAGCGGCGAGGTGTTTTTTTTTCCAACTGCTGCGAAAAACGATTCCCCTTTTTTGTTTTCAGGGAGGAGAATGAAAAAAGGGTAGGAGGGGACAAGGAAAAGAAACAATGGAAAGGAAAGGGTTCGGGGCCGAACACTCCTGCGTTCGGTAATGCCCAACGCCATCGCCAGCTTGGAGAGATCCACGGTCGTGTACATCGCCGTCGCGCCGAAACCTCGCAGCTCCACGCTCAAGGCCGCGCGAATACCAGCTCCATGGTCGTCCTATTGCAGGGTCCAGACACAAGCAGCAAAACGTAAAGGGAACTATCGAAGGCAGATTGGGATGGAGGAGAGGGGCATGGGAGGCGAGGGCTCCTCACCTCCAATCAATTCCCCCCTCCCCCTTCCCAGTCTGCCATCGATTGTTCCCTATATTTAGTTTCGGTGTAATATTTCGGTTCGGTGTCATATATCCTGAGGCCCTGCCAGCAACTCCAGACAACGAAGTATCCCTTGTCGAGAGAACGAAACACATGGAAATCCAACATTGGCGACCTTGCCGAAGGTTACGACGGCTCGGGTGGCGATTCTGGGATCCCTGGTGGTCGCCATACAAAAAACACTTGGCCCGAAACGGCTGACGACGACGACCGACGACCGACGACCGACGACCGACGGCCGACGACCGACGATCGACGACGACCGACGACCGACGACGACGACGACGGCGACGACGACGACGGCCGACCGCCGACGACCGACGACCGACGACCGACGACGACGGCTGACCGACGACCGACGACGACGGCGACGACGACGACGGACGACGACGACGACGACCACGACGACGACCACGACGATGACGACGACGAGGGGGTTATTGTCAAGATGTGGCGGTGCGGTAAGCATTGGCGGACGTCCTCTCCCCGATGCAAATGGAACGTATCCGCAACGATTCCAATGGCATGCGCACACTCAGACTGCACAACAATTATGAAAACCGACGACTTGCCTTCAATATCACATAATTTTTTTCATGCTGGTTTGTGGTAATCATGGTATTTATGTTTTTTGTTTGAACGGGGTTCTGGCTTTTATGTTGTTTTTTTTGTGGGGTCACTGCTTACATGTTGATTTCATCTATTTTTTTTCTGCGTCTTGTTGATATTATGTTGTTTTGTGTTGAATTTGTATATGTGTATATGTCTGTTAGGTTTTTTTTTTTTTGCGAACTGGCCATGTTGTGTTTTTTTCGCTCAAGGGGATGTGTGGGGACCAAGGCCCGTGGGGAGCAAAACGCGCGTGCAAGGGGGCCGTGGGGAGCAAATCGTGCAGATCGCACGCACCCTCCCCACAGCCAGTTTGGCCCCTCTTTGGCGCTCCCTAAGCACCTCCCCAGCGGACTCCTCTCCAAGCGTTCCTCGCTTCAATGCACAATATTGTTCCCAGGCGCGGTTCTGGGGCCGCCGTTGTGGAGTGCGTTTGATGGTGATGCCGGATTTGCTGCGTCTGCGGCCGATTTCACGGAGTGCGTTTTCGCTGACGACCGCAACTGTTGACAAGAGTTCGACGGTGTGGTCGCAAGTTCTTCCATCCTCGCCGCGCGCCGCCAGTGCAATTCTACGCGTCGCGATTGGGGCACTGCAAACCAGGTGTTTCTCGAGGCGACCAAAGAGATCATGCACATTCCTGACAAGTGCCGGCCCCGCGGGAACGATTTCAAGATCCTACGCGTACTCTTCGACCCCAGGTTGACCATGCATCGCGCCGCCCAAGCGTTTGCTCGGGAAGCCTCCTGGCGGCTCCGCGCTCTGCTTCTGTCTAGCAAGTTCTACAGCAGAGCTGAGCTGTTCAGGCTGTTCAAATGCCACCTTGTCTCATCCATGGACGGCGCAGCCCAGCAATCTTTCATGCAACCGATATTGTCTTATCTCCGTTCGTCGGCTTGCAGGGTGAGTTTTTGCAAGCGGTCGGGGCTTCCGAAGGAAAGGCCCTTTGAAATTGCAGCCTCGCCCAGGCATGTATGAGACGGGACCTGTCTATCTCAGGCTTGTTACACAACGTTGCTCACGGCATCGCTCCCTTTTGTGCTCTGTGCACTTTTCCCTCCCACGACGGGCGACCTCGACAGCCGCGGCTTTGGTGGAGGAGGGCGCATGCACAACAGGGCGCTGCGTGAGACAGTTGGACCCGGGAGCATCCAATGATGTGCAGATCCATTTTCGGCATGGTGTGTATTTCCAACCATCATCCGCAACATTTCGTCGTTTGCCCCTCCTGCGAATCAGTTCCAGAGAAAGCCCCGATCCGCGGCAGCCGAAGTTACCGTAACTGGCCACAGCGCGCGGCGCTAAATGTTCACCGTGCCGTGCCGCTTTCCGCAGTTACCAACCGTGGGCGTCCCTATATGAGGGATTTGTCAAGGAGGAGGAGAAGGAATGATGATGATGCTGATGATGCTGATGATGCTGATTGTGATGATGATGAGGAGGAGGAGGAGGAGGAAAACTATGAGTATGAGTGGGGGTGGGAGTAGGCCTGGTAGTACGGGTAGGGGTAGGAAGAAAACAAAAGTGGGGGAATGGAGGTGGTGGTGGTGTGTATGATCGGGGCCCGCAGTTGAGAGACTAGCAAAATATTGCCCGCGCCCAGGGCAACTGCAACCGTGGGGCGAAACGTTCGCCACCCTTCGCCCTCCCCGGTTTCGCAGGGAAGGCAAATGCGGAACATGAGGCGTGTGGACCCGTGGCGGGTCCTGTGGTGGGCCTGCTTTCCACCACGACCACCACATGTTGGAGGGGAAGGGGCCCCCCTCGTCCTCCACCGCCTTTCCCCCTCCATCTTATGGCGGCGATGGTGGGAAACAGGCCCATCGTCCCGTGTCCATGCGAGAGCGGGGCGCTCCGTCGCCAGATCGGGCGGCATGGGCTTCGCGTTGCGGGGGGTGCCTTGGTTGCCCCGACATGTGGATCTCTGGCGCCGGCGCGCTGGACCAACAAAGAGCCCCAGTCCATGTTAGCGTCTGCATTTATAATGTCCCAATATACTTTGGCTTTGATCACCAGGAAGAGTTCCGAGCGCCAAGGGAAGAACCGAAGCTCGAGGGTTTTCACGTGCCAGGCCTTGGGTGACACTCGTTCGACACTCTTTAACCACACTTCCGGATGCTCCAAATTCTTTTGGGGATGTGGTCTCTGAGTACGATGGGAAGAACAGAAGTCTACGTGCAAAGTCCTGGTTGGCAATGCCCTGGCTCAGGGGGGGCCGAGAGAGACGAGGCTTCCGCACAGAGAGAGGGCGGACCCACTCGGACGCCCCCCCCTCCTCGCGCGCGAGAG